TTTGTACTTGACACTTTGAGTGATTATGACAAAACTATCTGATAAATTATGTGTCCTGTATTGCATTATTTTCCTGGTCAACCCTGACTACTATACTGGATTTAATCCCCAACACTACAGTGGAGAATAAAAAAGAAATCTAGCCTGTCGTGGTAGCAAATGTTGGAGCTGGGGATTTAGCTCAGCGGCACAGCGCCTGCCTGGCAAGCTCAAAGTCGTCAGTTCAATTCCTGGTTCTGGAAAAAATAAAAAAATAAAAAAAAACAAAAACAAAAATGAAAAAACAAAGTATGCTAGCAAATGTTTATATTCACAGAACTCTGGGTCTGAGGCAGGAGAGTCAAGAGATGAAGTCTATCCTGGGCAACATAGCAACTTAGCCAAACTCCAGGGATTTTTCTCCTTGTTTGAGACAGATTCATACCGTATAGTTTAAGTTGGCTTATCTTTGAACTCACAGTGTAGTGCAGGCTGGTCTTGGACTTGCTGTGATCTTGCTGTCTCAGCCTCCTGAGTGTGGGGAGTATAGGCAAGTTCCACCATGCCAGATGACCCTGGTCTTACCATAAAATCAAATAAATTAAAAAAAAAGGCTGGGTGTGAGGTTATGAACAAATACTCTGAGTGTATCAGACAGAACAACCATCAATCAATATTAAAATTGAAAAATAAAAGGAAAATATGATGAGCACGTTGATCAAAGCAGGGATACCAAATTCAGTCTAAGGACCACCACCATGAAAAAAAATCAGGTTCATCACAGCTTTCTAAAGACAGTGATGTCATCCCCACAGAGAACAGATCAGAAAACTGCGGGAGGCCGTGACGTGGGATTTTGTCACTGGGTGCAGTGATGCAGGCTTGTTAAGCCAGAACTAGGGAGGCTGACACAGTGGCATCTCCATAAGTTTGAGGACAGCTTGGTGTACATAGTGAGCTGAAGGCCAGCCTGATACTCACAGATAGATCCAATCTCAACAAATGAACAAACAATCCTCACTTTATGATCATTCTGCCTCAGCTTCAAAAATTGCTGGTATTAAAGGTATGAATGACAATTTCTCATTCAACAGTGACACAGAAAATCTAATGCTATCCGTGAGAGTAAGAAGGGACACTTACGCTGTGATGCCATAATTGGTGAAGAAAAGGTGTGTGTCCAACGGGATCAGCTGAGGGAACTGATTTGAGAAGGTGAAAGGAAAGACAGGAGCTGCAGAGCTGAGAGCGCAGCTCCTATGAGCAGATGAGGGTTCACACATTTCCAAGTCTCACTGGGGAGGTTGCAGAGGAGGAAACCTGAGTCAAACCCTGTTTCAGTCAGGGTTTTACTGGAGAAACAGATATAACACAAGATGTACAATTATAAGAAATTACAAGATTGGCTTACGACCGTCAGCCAGAGAGTTGTATGAGGAAGTGTGCAGAGAGTGTCTGCACACTGAAGACCAAGGGAATCAGTCCAGGGTCTAGAGTTCAGTTCAGAGTTCCATGTAAGTCCGTACCAGCAGGCCAATAAATCTGCGACAGAAGGCTGAAGGATCCAGAGAAGGTGGAAGCCAAAGAGTCTGCACTAGAAGCCAGGAGACGAAGTCCAAGCTGAAGGTGAAGACTGAAACTCCTCCAAAAGGAATGGAAGTTCCTCTGTCCTTCTTCATTTCCCTTTTATATTATCTAGGTGATGATCTACCCTAGGGTGGCTCCTCTACACTCTAGGGTATAGAGTTGCTGAGCCAATTGCTGAGCCAAGTTTAGTTACGCTTCTAAACTTCTCAAGTTGACATAATCAATCAACCACTACAAACCCCAACCCAGTGATCCTAGTGGATCTGACCTATGGCCTTTTCCTTTCATGTCAGGATTCTTCCCAGAGGGGACATTTCCCAGGCAAGATGTATCCACAGGCAGTGGCCAGGACTTTCAGCCTAAAAGACAATAATTTGAAGCTGAGGAAACTTCAGTTTGAGTAAAAAAGAAGAAAGTAGCTCAGAAATTGAGGTAAACTTAATTGAAAAAAATCTAGTAACATTTGTTTTGGTTAGTTTTGTGTTTGTGGCCCTGGTGGTTAAGCATGAAGCCTTTGCCCCAGGCTGTGTCTCTGTTCCTTGTTTTGTTTTACTTTGTTTGTGTACAATGTGATGTCACTGCAGCCCCAGGAGAGCAGCCTTTCCTTGGGCAATGAAGCACTTTGCCCCTACAGCCAAGGAACAAAGACTGAGTCTCCTCATTTCACCCATGACAGGGGTGAAGAATATTGATGTCACTTTAGCACTTATTTTTTGGTAGCAGGAATCAAACTCAGGACCTTGTGCTTGCAAGGCAGGTGCTTATGCCACTGAGCTATCTCCCCAGCCCTAAAATAAGTGGAGTAATACATATATATGTAATAATAATATATATAATCATATATATAATATAGTAGCAATGTATATAATTTATATATATAATTCTTTTTGGTGGCACTTGGAATCAAACTCAGGGTGTTGCCCTTAACACTAAGGGTTCCAGGGAAGGAGTTTTTCCATTTACACTTACAATGTCCCTTGCCTTAAGTGCAGCCTTGTGCCACAGGACTGATAAGGCAGGGAGACTCCATTTTCTGTTTTCAACTCCATCTTCACAGAAGTCACTTAGAGTTCTCTGCAGCTGTAGTTCAACCCAGTCCACTGGGTGATCAACTCAGCACAGCAGAGTCATAATGGGAACAGAACAAGCAGGACAAATTGGGAGGTGGGCTACAAGTTAAACTGCACTGGTCATTTGGAATTTGGTTCTCTGATCTTCTGGGAGAAGTAAACTTCCTGAAGATTCCCCAAAAAAGGTAATAGTTACTATAGAAACCTAAAATGTATTTAAACTAAAGGTGAGACCCAGATCAGCACAGACATCTTCTCTGGCCCCTGGTTAGAGACCGTCCATCAGCCAGCTAATAAAGGTTTCTTGTTCATGCCTCTTTAGTTTTCTTCTGAGTGCCCTTCTTGATGGACTCACCTGCCGTATCAGGGTCCTGTCACAAAATGGTTTGGTATCACAGCTGCTCACATGGCCTCATTTTCCCTGGAAGCTCCCCATTTGTTTCTTCTACCTTGGGTTCACCACTGGCCTCCCACAGCAGGAATGTCCCTGATCACAACCCCTGCACTTCCCAAAAGAACCCTACATTAGAGAATTGGTCTCTGAAATGCATTTCCAGTTGGCAACGTTAATTAGATTAATCCAAAAAAAAAAGGGACAAAAATGAGGAGGAAGAAGAACTACTCCTCACTTCCTTCTATCAAGGACTTTGTCTTGATAGAAATATTGTGTGGATGCAGAGCAATGGAAAAGCTCTATGGTCGATCTAATAACATGGGAATATTTGGAAGGGGGAGAAAAATCAGGAAACATGCAGGAAACTTGGATGGAGAAAACTGAATAATTGCAGGGAATAAACAATATGCAGTATCTTTTTTTGCAGCTGTGAATTCCTGAGACCCAACTGCTCTGATCAGAGAACTCAGGGCCTTATCAGAGAACTCACTTACTGCAGATTCTAAGCTCTTAGCTTGAAACCAGGTGAAATGATCATGGAGGAAACCAGATGATTCACATGCGACTATTTTTATTTCTGATCATTTTTTACATTCATCTATACATTCATCTGAATCCTTAATTGACATCGAACAACTTACATTCCTATTTCTGACCCTGTCTAGGACTCAGGTGCACACAAGTCACTTCTACTCTCAGGTGCGTGATTCTCTGAGGTTGCTGCCTGCTGCCAGCATGTCCTTTCTCACCCACACTGAAAGAAGAGCTCAGTGTTCCTGGGGCCAGACGGAAGCCTGGGAAATGTGCATTCACTTAGATGGGGACACAGGCCTGGCATGGACTGGGGCACAGGTTGTTCAATGCTCGGTCGCAACACGGTTCATGGTGAACACAAAACCAGACCCTCCTGGGAAGGTTCAGTGGCTTCATCACCCTCCTAAGTGCTTCATGTATCTGTTTCCACATGTGCTTGTGAGCACCATGCCTGGGAACAAAAACCTCTTGAAGAACAGAGTACAGCTCCATGTTTAAGTTCCTCAGCCTGGCAGTGTCAACCAGCAGCTTCTTCATGGTGCCTGTGGATATGAAATTCCACACAAAGCAGAAGGTAGTGAGCTGGGAGCAGCAGCTCAGCGAAGGCAGAAAGGCGCAGACCTGCGCATCTGTGATCCCACAGTTTTCCAAATTCAGGGTGGTCAGGGTGGCTGCAACATTATCCAGCAGAATTCCGAGGGGCTCAGGATTGAAATCAGTCAGCCTGATACAACTCAGATCCAAGTATTTTAGCTGTCGGGTCTGCTCAGCCTGGGCAGCTGGTTCCAGTCATCCTGTGAAAGCTGGCAGTGAGTTAATGACAGCATCTCCAAGGGACACTTCAAGCACCTGTAGAAAACCAAACAGTTAGATTTGGCAATTGGTGGTGAAAATGAGTAGAAAACAAGAAGGTGGACCAAGTGTCAAACAAGTCAGCCCAATTTAGGAGTGACATTACCATCCATTTTACATGTCTGTGTGACATCACCATCACTTGGTTAAACATCTGAGCTTTGAATCTCTACAGTCCCCTGTCCTCACTCCCATGCAGAAAAGCACAGCTCTTTCCTGCTGAGGGCAGCAGAAGACAGGCAGGAATGAACAATCAGGCAAGATCTGGCCACAGCTACTGCAACTGTCCAAAAAGCTCTCAGTAGGGTGTGTATCCTTGTTCCCTGTGCTGCACCTATGTCCCTTGACATCAGCTTCAGACTCCTGCTCTTCCAATCTGGCCACCAGCCCACACTGGGCACAGCGTCCTCATGGTGACTGCTAGGAGGATCGGAGGGGTCTGGGGGTTTCATCATCTTAGCCTAGGTGGGCTTCTTGAGGAAGAATACACACACCTGCCCTCATTATATCTGAGCCCACCTCCTGGCATTCTAGCTTGCTGTCCCTTTCCAGTCTGGTCACTCAATTACAGGGGTATATGACACCTTGTTGTAGTACTGAAGGAGTAATGTGTTTGATCTCTGTTATACCTTCTGTGAGTTGCATACCATCCTTGTTCTCTAATCTTTCTAGAACAGAACACGGCTCTTCTGACTGCAGAGAGAGCTCCACATCTTACCTGATTACCCGGCCCAAGTAGCCTTTAATGAAGTCAACAGAGTCCATATAAATCTCTTGCAGACCATGATGCTTAAGAAACTGAGAGGTGATTTGGGTGAACAACTCCTCTCTCCTCTCTGGGGAAAGGATGGAAGGCACAGAGATGTCAGACAAAATTAGTCTGGGAAGATTTTTCATCTGTCCCAGAAAAGGGGCAAATTGAACACATTCAAAGAATGTCCACCTGTGATCCACATCTACCCCTGCACAGAGTCAAGGTTCCACATTGCCACGAAATTTGTGAGCCATTCAGGCCACAGGCCTGCAATACACAGCTTCTTACACTCCAGCTGTACCAGGTCTTGCCTCTCCTGGATCCACTTGAGCAGGTAGGATTGCACTGGATGCAGCCTTCCATACTTGAAAGGCAGATCTAAAGTTCCCTCGAGGGGCTGCTTTTCTGCTCCCCTTGGAACACTCATCTAGGTTTTTCTCCTCTTCATGGATTCTGAGAAGCAAGCTTCCAACTTGATTTCAGCCCAGACTGTCCAGAAGTGCTGGTGCACATCCCGCATATCTAGTACTCACAGTTTCAACCTCCTGTGGATGAGGCAGTAATGAGTCTGAGAATTTACCCAGCTTGGACCCAGGTTCCTGCTGTGCCTTCCTCATCTCTGAGGTCCATTGCTAGCTTCTCTACTGTTTCTATGCTGTAGTTTTCTGCTTCTGCTTTCCTCCCTGGATCCAGCCCAGTGCCTATCCTAGTGCCCATTGGAGGAGTTAGGAACTTCTTGCTCCTTTCACTGCAGCCTCCATCGTCAGCTCACCTCCCCATCTGGCAGTGCATGCCTAAGTGGCCCCGCAATGCCCCAGGCTTCTCTGATCCTCAGCCAGTCCCTGTCAGAATCTTCGACCTCACCCTTTAGCACCCACTGTCCCTGACACTTTCTGTCCCTTCCTGGAAACCCAGGGCGTCCGTCCAGGATACCTTGGGCACACTCACCTGGATAAAACCTGGCTCAGCAACACATCACATGCATCCATCAGAGCATCAAGCATCCTTTTCTCAGCAGGGAGACATCTTCCTGAATGTCCAAAGTGGCTGGATTCATCATGCTAATCAGGGGTCCCAGGGGCTGGTAGGGTAAAGGCCAGACCAAGAGCATAGTCTTTAGGATCTCAATGTGTCCCCTGGTGAAGGCCTCCACGAACACTAGTTGGAAGAGCTCCCCTGGCAGATATTCCATGGCCTCCATGGCCAAGGTCTTGTCCCTCAGCAAGCTCTGAATTGCCAGTTTCAGTAGAGTGTGTGTGGGGGGTCTGCGTGCTCATCCTGGTGAAATCCTAATGCCAGGGGTGTTGGAAAAGACTGAGGAAAGAGACATCCTTTCAGTGACTGCTGAGACACCCCTTCTCACCCACCAGGAACCAACATGGAGCTAGAATATCCCTGCTGTGATAAGGATGTCTGCCTCCCTTTTATTTCCCTGTGTCATCCAAACCCGGAGAGTGGAAATAGAGACTCCACAGGATGACCACTCAGCAGTGTGCAAGCTCGCTGGGAATTTCTCAGGCTGTGAAACCTCTTGCTGGATGGAAATACAGCATAAATTCATGAAGATATAGTTTAGTGTGAGGGCATCTGTCATTCCTGAAGTTTTCTTTTACAACCTAAGTTACATTTGTTGGCAGAAACCCTATCCAATTTGTGGAAAGCCCTCATGTCCTCTGCAATTCTATTTGCACAGGAGGTTCGCAAAAAGCTAATATGAGAGCGTCCTTCACTTCTTTGTGTTGCTGAAGGGAGGCTGCGCTGTACCCATCTCTGGTCCCAGCATTCCTGCATCAAAACAGGTTGCTGTACAGCATGTAGCTCTCCCATGAGTTCTTGGTTTTGTTCCTAAAGCCCCAAGATCCCTAAGATGCTGCCAAAGCCTCTTGCACCTTCTAAGGGTTTGCTAATACACTATTGAATTAAATTACATAACTGAGAGCCATAGCATATTTAGTTTTACAATATGAAAATAAGCATTATTTTTCTCACATTTGAAATTCACAGCTTTTTGTAATTTCCACGTGGTCTAGGAACATAAACCCATAAATTTCAGGGGTCCACTATATAGGAAATAGAAGCTGGTGGAGGTGGGGCTTAAAAGAAAAGGGAGTAGTTTATAAAAGGGGAGAGCAGTTAAGTGAGCTTAACAGAATATGAAATGTTTGGAGAACACAACCGAGGGGCAGAGGTTACTTTGAAGTGTGGAAATTTTGGAAACAGATGTTACTGAATTCAAATATCCAAAACTGTCATTTGTGTGGCTTTGGCCAAATTCTTCAAACTGAGATTTCCTCATCTTTGAACGAGACTCACAACTGCATCTATTCCTCCTCTTTCATTCTTTGAGGGAAGTTCCACTGTGATTTCCTGCTTGGACTGAGGATTCGGAGTGAAGGATCGCAGGGAGTCTGCCCAGACTCCTGAGCATCTATGCTTGT